TCGGGGCGGCCGCTGCCCCCCGGGCCCGACAGCTGGGGAGGGGAGAGACAGTGAGACCCCTCCTCGAATTGGGGGGAAATCAATGAAAACACCCCCGAAATTGGGGGGAAATCAATGAAAACACCCCCGAAATTGGGGGGAAATCAATGAAAACACCCCCGAAATTGGGGGCATATCAATGGGACCCCCTCCGGGCCTGACAGCTGGGGGGGGAGAGACAGTGAGACCCCTCCTCAAATTGGTGTCATAGCCCTGAGACCCCCCCTATCATCCCTGAGACCCCTCCTCAAATTGGGGGGATATCAATGGGACCCCCCCCGGGCCTGCCAGCTGGGGGAGGGGACACAGTGAGTGAGACCCCTCCTCAAATTGGTGTCATAGCCCCGAGACCCCTCCTCAAATTGGGGTGAGACCCCTCCTCGAATTGGTGTCATAGCCCTGAGACCCCTCCTCAGATTGGGGGGAAATACCTGAGACCCCCATATCATCCCTGAGACCCCTCCTCAAATGAAGGGGAGAGACCCCTCCTCAGATTGGGCGGAAATACCTGAGATCACCCCCGAAATTGGGGGCAAATCAATGGGACCCCCCCCGGGCCTGCCAGCTGGGGGGAGGGGACACAGTGAGTGAGACCCCTCCTCGAACTGGGGAGAAATCACTGAAAACCCCCCCGAAATTGGGGGGAAATCAATGGGGCCCCATATCATCCCTGAGACCCCTCCTCAAATTTGGGGGAAATCACTGAGACCCCTCCCCAAATTGCTGTGAACCCCTGGGACCCTCCTGATTATCCTATCATCCCTGAGACCCCTCCCCAAATCGGTGTGAAATCCCTGAGATCCCCCCATGTCACCCCAAGGACCCCTCCCCCAAATCGCTATAACACCCCTGAGCCCCCACCCCAAATTACAACAGAGAGGAAAAACCTCAAAAATCCTTGGGGCAGGGGTTGAGACCCTCCCCCCAAATAATCGCGGGGAGGTGAGACCCCTGCGACCCCTCCCCAAAATATCACCGCGAAATCACTGAGAACCCCTCCCCCCAAAATGATCGCCGTCGGTGACACCCCCGAGACCCCTCCCCAGTTATTGAAAGGGAAATTATTGAACCCCCCCCAAATTATCGCAGCGGTGACCGAGACCCTCCCCTCCCCCAAATCATCAGGAGGGGGAAAGACCCCCGAGCCCCCCCCAAACCCATTCCCGGGGGTCCCGGTGACCCCCGCGCCCATCCTTGGCATCCCCCGGTTCCCCCCGCCGCC